CCCTCTGCAGATAAGTAAAATCTTTCTGCAAGGTGGATGCCAGTGTCATGAGAGTTAAATGAGAAGTACAGCCTGGCTAATGTGGTTCAGTGGTTGAACATCAACCTATAAACCAAGAGGTCATGGTTTGATTCCCAGTCAGGGCACATGGCTGAGTTGGGCATCAATCCCCAGTGTGAGGTGTGCAGAGGCAGCCGAGTAATGATTCTCTTTCATCATTGATGTTTCTCTCTCTCTCCCTCTCCCTTCCTCTCGAACTGTGAACTGTGGGGACAAAGCTGATGGACACAGGGAAGAGTAACTCAAATAGTACAAGACAAGGTGATGAGTGCTGTGAAAAACAATGGAGCCGGTTGAAAAGATGGAGAGCACAGGGCTGCTGGGAGGACATTGTAATTTTAAATGGAGAGTCAGAGAGACCTCACTGCCTTTACAAGACTCTTCTAAGGGAACCCTTACACTTAGCTGTGGGCACAGAAGGAAGAAGCAGCAAAGGAAATTGACATGGAGTCACTAAGATAGTGGCACCTGGAAGCCAGGTGAGATGGCAAGTGTCCAGGATGTACAAGAGATGTGTCTTCAGGATGGAGACCTGTGTGGGTTGGGGCTATGGGGCAAAGTGATGGAGAGAAAAGTAGGTAGGGAAGAGGAGACAGGTGTGAATGGAAAGGGTGGAGAGAATGAGAGTGCAGCTGTGACAGAGACAAGCTCACAGGTGACTGGTGGATCAAGACCAGCACAGCACAAGTAGGTGATGAGCCTTGAGTGACTCCTTTCTTACCAAGCAGGGAGAGTGAGGAGGGAGGTTTGAGGGCTTCCCCAACTTCCTTAGCTTCTGTTTGCTCCATGAAACAGGAAGTGAGGTCAGTGCTCTGGAGAAGGTGAAGGGGCGGCCACAAGGCTTGTAGGGAAGAGTCAAGGCTCAAAGGAGCTAGTGCATGAATAGGGGAGAGCTAGCTGAGGATGCTGGAAACAAAGGACATTAAACTGAGGTGGGGGCCTTCAGTGTGTTGAGGGTGAATCACTCCAGAGTTAGGATCTGGCTGGAGAAGTGCAACCTAAATCCAGAAAGCCATGGATGTGGGAGCATTGCAAGGGAATTGGAGTCTCAGCCAAGCCAAGACGGAAGCAAACAGCTAATGGGAGAAACCAAGGGGCTAGCAGCTCAAAGTACAGATGAGAGGGGGGATGGGGAGGAGAGAAGCTGCAGTGAGCAGTGGAAATGGGTTCTAAGTGAAGAAATAAATGCTCAGACATGTTTTAAAAGAATCCCTCAGCTGCTGTGGAGAACAGGCAGGAGCCCACTCGAAAGGGCACTGCGCGTGGTAGTTGGAACTGATGGTGTTGGGACCAGGGTGATAACGGGATGGTGCACAGTGAGGGGATTCTGGAACTGATAGGCGTTGGCAATGATGGGATGTAGGGTGCAATAGAGAGGGGTCAGAATGTATTGAGTATCTATGATATGCCAAGCATGGTGTGGGGAGCTTACCATTTAAAGTTAAGATAACAGGAAACTGCTAGTTACTTCGGTGTTCTTGGCACTTAGAAGTGAGTAGACATACAGGGGTGGGTGGAGTGGAGAGGAGGAGGGAGTACAGCTAAACGCTGCTGGCTTGGGAGGGGGTGCAGGGGAAGACTTCCAGGAGGAGGTGCCATTGGAGCTGGCACTACCAGGTATCAGAAAGAGGAAGGGCATCCAGAATGACCATGTGCAAAAGCCCAAAGGCAAGACTGAGGAGCCCGCTGTGGCCAGAGGGCAGTGAGAAGTCAGTGTGGCCACTTATCTAATGCACATAAAGACAAAAGCAAGACTGCAGAGAGAAGCAGAAACCACGAGAGAAAAGGGAGTGAGGGGGCCTTGCTGGGCTCCTGGATGGAGAGGCAGGAAGGTGAGGGAGGGCGTGCCATGCGAGCCTCTGGCTCCAATAACGGCTGCCAAGATGAGTTAGCACAGCTGGGCTTCTGGCTTGCAAGAAAGGCTGTGGGGAAAGTGGGGAGTGGGCGAGAGAGCCAGAAAAGGGGGCTGGCAGGCACTGAGAGAGTGGCCTTGTCTCAGAGTCCCCAGCTGTCCATTGGGGCTTTCCTGGATCTGAGCTACAGGTGCTGGCAAAGGTGTGTGCTGGGCAGCTGGGGAGGAGTGAGCAGGCAAGACGGGGGAGTCAGCTGGTCAACCTGAGTAGCCATAACTCAGGAGCAGCTCGGGGAGGAGAAAGCTGGGAGTGGCTGAGAAGCACTTGTCACTTATGTGTCCGCAGCAGGGCAGCAGGGCAGGGACATTGCTGACAATGCCTCTGGGCAGAGGTGAGTGTGAGATTCAGAACTGCCAACTACGAAGGGAACAGGAAATGTCTCTTGGGAGATACTGCTTGTGGAAGCTGGAGCCCAAGGCACCGATGTCTATTTTCCAGGCAAGATGTCTGCACACAGTGGGCAGAGAGCAAATAAACAAAGTTGTGGCAGATGCTGTTGGTGCCTCACCCATCTCCCTAGACCAGTGGTCGGCAAACTCATTAGTCAACAGAGCCAAATATCAACAGTACAACGATTGAAGTTTCTTTTGAGAGCCAAATTTTTTTTAATCTTTATTGTTCCTATTATTAAAAATGTTCCTCATTTTATTCCTCCCTCCATTGCTCCCCTCCACCAAGTTCCCACCCACCTTCTGCCCTTTCCCCACCCCCCATTGTCCTCATCGTAGGTGCACAGTTTATGTTCAGTCTCTTCCCACACCCCCCACTTCCCTTTTCCTCGAGAATCATCAGTTCACTCCCCTTCCATACCTCTGATTCTATTATATTCACCAGTTAATATTGTTCATCAGATTTTTTTTAATTCCCTTGGTTTTTAGGTTCACTTGTTGATAGTTGCTTATTTGTTGTTCATAATTTTTATCTTTATGAATGGGAAATATTCAAGGTGATGAATAGCAAGAACCTACAGCCAAAAATAATCTACCCAATAAAGCTATCACTCAGAATCAAAGGCCAGATAAAGAGCTTTACTAATAAAAAAAAGCTAAAGGAGTTCATCACCACCAAACCAGAATTATATGAATTGCTGAAGGGGGTTCTTTCAGAAGAGAAAGAGAAAGAGAGTCAAATTTTTTAAACTTAAACTTCTTCTAATGCCACTTCTTCAAAATAGACTTACCCAGGCCATGGTATTTTGTGCAAGGGCCACACTCAAGGGGCCAAAGAGCCGCATGTGAGTCGAGAGCCACAGTTTGCCGACCACGGCCCTAGACCTTCAGTGCACTAGTGGGCTAACTTCCATCCCAGCACCTGCCTTCGTCTCTGTCTGGGGGCTTCCTCTGCCTACCAGAATCCTCCTTTCCCACCCACACAGTGGGCAGGAAGTATGGGATAACTATGGGAGTAGGTATACCTCACTTCCCTTTCCCCAGAAGGGGGGGCGGGAAGGGGGTGGTAACTCTGAGGTTCCTATTCTCCACTGTCTCCCAAAGCTCCCAAGCTTTTATTGGCTTTCCTGTCTTTTTTCTTATTTCCCACTCCACTACCTGAGACTCACTTGCCTCCCAAATTAACAACTTGTCTCCGGGCCTGCTCCTGGCGGGACACACACAGCAGGAAAGATGGGGGCTGCAAGGCCCTTTGAATCCCAGCTCCTTTTGTGTAAGGAATCCCCAGCTGGCAGCAGGCTTCTGTACAGGCTGGCTGAGAATAAATTAGCATCTTAATGTCTACAACAAGGCGCAGGCTATACAGTATGCCATGTCGCCTTCTAATCCGAATCAAAACTACACTGATAACAATGCCCTTTGGCCAGCTTCAGACTCGTTGCTGAAAGCATAGTCCACCGATTTGTCATCCTGGGCTAAATATAAAAAATTGTGGCCTGAGTCAGAGCGTTATTTTCAGCACTCCGTCTTATTACTTTCAGCCTCTGAGGGATGGTGTTTGGAGGGCTGTTGCCTGGAGGTTGAGGGCAACCCTGGTGGACCCCGTATTCCAAAGACAACGATCCAACTCCTCTCCCAGCGGATAGTGTCTCCTCAACACACCCTGACCGATATCCCAGCCTCCCCCACATCCACCAGGTCGAGGCTTCTGTTTCTGGCCACTCTCCAGAGCTGGAAGTGGGTTCCTTCCAGGTCTGACGTCTCCTCTCTCAAAAGCCACAGAAATAAGGAAAGGGGATGGGGGCGTGAGTAACAGACGTATTTATTAAGAATCTGTTAAGTGCTAGACCCTGAAATTTATGAATCTTCATAAAATCCCTGCCAGACAAATATTATATATATAAATATATATATATATATATATATATATATATATATATTTTATTGACTTCAGAGAGGAAAGAATAGGGAGAGAGAGATAGAAACATCAATGATGAGAGAGAATCATTGATCGGCTGTCTCCTGCATGCCCCCCACTGGGGATTGTGCCCACAACCCGGGCATGTGCCCTGACCAGGAATCGAACCATGACCTCCTGGTTCATAGGTCAACGCTCAACCACTGAGCCATGCCGGCCTAGCCACAGAAATATTATTGACTGTATTTCACAGAAAGGGAAAGTGAGACTTAGCAAACAACTGGCTCAGGGCTACTTGGCCAAGGTTTGAATGGCCAATGCCCTCCGCACAGTGCTGTGTGCCCTTCCCCTTCCTCCATGGTATTTCGTAGCACCAGCACTTCTCTAAATGGTGGGAGTAGGTGATATGCAAGTGCCCCCATTCAAGTGCCCCCATACATGGTGCCCTGGCCCAGTAGGGGACTCTGCTCTTATTTCTTTGGGGAGAAGGGGGAAATGCAGCAGGTCTCATGATTGTGAGTACAACCAAGGATGACTCTTTCCCCAAATAAGTTCATGGACCCCCTGGAGTTATATGAGGGACCCCCTGGGGAGAAGTAGTTTGAGAGACTCAGTAAGGGCCCCTGGAGATCAGGGAGGGTCGCCCCGTATCGTCCAGGGGCTTGCCTGGACCTCCCTCCTCCTGAGCATCTAACCTTCGCGGGTTTCTGCTCCCTGCAGGTTCCCTGTTCCCGGAGCTGAAGCCCTCGGAGAGCGTCTTCAAGGTCATCTTCTGGCTCGGCTACTTCAACAGCTGCGTGAACCCGCTCATCTACCCCTGCTCCAGCCGCGAGTTCAAGCGCGCCTTCCTCCGCCTGCTGCGCTGCCAGTGCCGGCGCCGCCGGCGCCGCCGCCCCCTCTGGCGGGTCTACGGCCACCACTGGCGGGTCTCCGCGGGCGGCCCGCGCTCCGACTGCGCCCCCGGCCCGGGGGCTGCGCTCCCCGGGGCCCCGCTGGCCCTCGCCGAGCTCGCCGCCCCTGGCTCCCCAGGTGCAGCCGAGGCGAAGCCGCGCGCTTTCCGCGAGTGGAGGCTGCCCGGGCCGCTCCGGAGGCCCAGCACCCAGCTGCGCGCCAAGGTCTCCAGCCTGTCGCTCCGGCTCCGCGCCGGGAGCGCGCCGCGCACCGAGGCCGCCCTGCGCCCCGAGGTGGAGGCGGTGTCCCTCGGTGTTCCCCCCAACGTCGTGGAGGGCGCCTACGAACTGGCGGACTGCAGCGACCTCCGGGAGACTGACAGGGAGACTGATATCTAAGGACCCCCAGAGCCAGGCCTGGGTGGGGGCGGGGGTGCTAGGGGAGGTGGGTAAGGTGGGGTGGGGGCGAGGACGGGAGGAGAAGCTAGCTTGGTTCCAGAGGCCCCTGTGGATCGGGGATTCGAAACTGATCAGGACAGCTACTCTCTAGCCTCCAGGAGGAAGGGAGGCAGAGCGCTGCCCTGGAGGGGTGGAAGGCTATGGGGCCCCACCAGACACAAATGCCCATGCTCCTCCTTTGGGAGGAAGGGGGTGCGGTCTTCGGGAAGGAGGGGTGCCATTTGTTCCCAATCCCTATTTGAGAAGCACTGCCCCATCCATGCCTTGAACCCTGGGTAGACAGCCCCAAGTCTGGCCAAACAGGCCTGCCCCTCCTCTTGGGGGGAACGGGGCAGGGAGGCCCTGCATGGCTGCCCCACTGCCTCCCTAGGAAAACGTCCCTGGGACCAGGGCTTCTCGGTGAACAAGTTTCTCCTTACTGCCAACTGGAGGAACCTTGAGATCCGTCACCGTTACAGCCACCTACAAGCTTTGGTGGCAGATGGGATGACTGTTTCTACGAGCCTGTTGTATTTACCCGTGGACCCTGCCGGTATTCCTCCTTGCACACCGCATCACCAGCCCCTGCCGCCCAGTACCCCCCTCCCCCAGGGCCTTACTGTTTACACTCTGTACATAGCCCCCTGTGCCTGTGCCCATCACCTCCCGCTGGGATCCGGAGCTGTCAAACGGGGAGAGCTTTATTTGTCGTTTTGAGACATATTTATTGGCAAGAGTACTTCTATTTTGTCCAAACTGTGCAAACTGTCCCTCTTTAGCTTATAACGTATAAAGAACTTGTTTTTTTCCTAAAATTCTTCAAGTTTTAAAGGCCCACAACAGGACAGATTGGGTATTTGTGCACCTTTCTAGTTTCATCTTAACTGGCTCTTTAACTGCCTGTCCCGTTGGGGCTTGTAGCATGACCAAAGGACTTTGGAGGAGGAGGAGGATTTAAAGTCATGTGACCAGTCTTGGGAAACAAACAGTAACCATAAACACAAATGTTCACTTTGTCAGTCTCCCCAGATGTACCTGTGATGCAGTCGTCAGTTAAATGGGTGGAACGCTACAAAAAATATATATACAAGCCCGAGTAGACAGGTGTGCGTGGTGTGGTGAGAGAGAGAACACCTACCCAGGAACCATGCTTGACATCCCAAGAGGGCCACATTTTGCAGCACCTTGGCCCCCTAAAGCTGGGGGGACTGGGGGACAGCCCTTATGGTCTCACAGGAGTGGAGACTGTTGGTCAAATCAGGGGTCCAGTATCAGGGGATTGAACACTGGGCTCCTGGGCGGGGGTCCTTGGTAGCAGGGGAGGGTCCCTGAGCAGAGTGAACATTCGTTCCCACATGTTAGGGCAGGTAAGCCACCGGAGGTCAATAGTGGGGACAAGGGAGCGAGGTGGGAAGGGAGTCCATCAGCAGGATTTTTAGTGGGGGAGGGGGCCCTCGTGTCCCCATAACAGTGGACATGGAGGCAGGCAGTGTGGGCAGCTTGGCCAGTACTTTCTGTCAGCACGATGATCAATCAGCAAACATGTCCAATGTTCAAGCACAGCAGCGCTCTGCACCAGCTGCCTCCTCCTGTGCCCCCCACACTAGGTACCCAGCCTTCGGGGGATGGGGGAGGGCCCCAGAGGCCCCAGAGAGGCTGTGCTCCAACAGGGGCATCCAGGAACCCAGTTCTGATCACCAACAAAGCACTGAGCCGCTCACCTCGCTCTCGGGACATGCCAGATGTTGTAAAGTGGTCAAGAGGAATGGAGGGAGTAGCAACAGCCCTTCTGGAGGATTCCAGTGATTCTGGAGCATTTGGAAGAAGTGCATTCACTGCACCATTTCCTGAGACCTCAGGTGCCCCAACTCTCCCTCCCTCCTCCCCCCCCCCCCCCCGCCCCCAGGCTGGCCCACACAACTCCTTAAAGACTGTCCCTGAAGTGCATATAAAAAGGCCATTGTCTCTCTCTTTAAAAAAAAAAAAATAAATAAATAAATAAATATATATATATATATATATATAGATAGATAGATAGATATAGATATAGATATATAGATATATTTTTTTTATTGATTTCTTACAGAGAGGAAGGGAGAGGGACAGAGAGCTAGAAACATTGATAAGAGAGAAACATCGATCAGCTGCCTCCTGCATACCCTCCCACTGGGGATGTGCCCACAACCAAGGTACATGCCCTTGCCCAGAATTGAACCCGGGACCTTTCAGTCTGCAGGCTGACGCTCTATCCACTGAGCCAAACCAGTTTCGGCTGTCTCTTTTTTTAATCACCTTGAAATGCCAGGGTGATTGGGGAAATAGAGAAGAATCGGTACCCATCAAAAGGGGAATAAGGGTTCCTTTGCACAAGCCTCGAGAAATGAGAGAGTTTGTTAGTGAGAAGGGCACGGTCCTGTGAGATGTGACGGGGAAAAGCAAGTCTACGAAGACACTGGCATTTGTCCAATGACCTCCCCCCTCCCCCACTTAGAAAACCTCACTCCTGTTCCCACCCGAAACCTCGAGCTCCAGTCCACCCTCCCTCTCGAGCTGGGCTCTTGCCGCCCATCTTGCCTTGCTTCCCACACTCTCCAGGACCTCTGTCCCCAGCATTCCACGGGATCACTTTTGCAAGTCACCTGGGACCTTTCATTTCCCTAACCTCCTCCCATCATCTGTCTGGGCTGCAGTTCACACTAGTGGCCACTCCTGCTTCCTGAAATGTTCCTCCGCTGCTGAGCCACGCCCCTGGGATCTCTTCTGGTCCCCTGACCACACTCACTCTCCTGCGCAGGCGCCCCGCTCTGTCCTCAAATGTCCCCCAGGGTTTTCTTCTTCCTTTTCTCAACTCTCCACACAATCTCATCCATTCAAAATCACCTCAATTGTGTCCATAAATGTCTCCCCAGGGTCTCTCTCTGGATCCAGAGGTGTGTGCTTATTCTCCCCCAGATGACCCCCAGACACCCCAGATGCAAGCCCTCTCACCTTCTGCAAAGCATCTCATCTGCTCTGCGCAGGCATGACAAGGCCACTGGTGCTGAGGCTTCAAGCTCATCTCCACACCTTATCATCTTCCCAAGACCTCCTTCCCAGAGGCCTTGCCTGGAACTAATCCCTGAGCATTCCTCAGTCTTCCTGTTAGCTCATATCAAGATCACCCTGGCTTAGAGTCCACTGATAGAATCCATATCTGTGTCCATCAGGGTGAGAGCTGTCTGTTCCCAGGGCTGTTCAGGACTGCATAAGAGTTTTTATTAAATACTAGAAGCCCTGTGCATGAAATACTAGAAGGCCGATCAGGGCCTTCCAGCTGCCAGCTGGGGCCTCCCTTCCCTGGCTGCTGGCTGCTGGCTGCTGGCTGCTGGCTGGGGCCTTCCTTCATTCCGCACCGCCCCCTGGTGGTCATCGCATGTCATAGTGAGTGATCAATCTCTCAGTCAAACACCCACAGGGACAATTTGCATATTAGGCTTTTATATATATATATATATTGGATTTATGGGTTCACTGATGCCTCCCTGGGACACTGCACCATTGTCCACCTGGTATCTGGCTCTACATCACCGTTTTCATAAGACCTTCACCCCATCTGGTCCCATCAATACTCAGGAGCTAAAGCCTAGCCCGCTCCCAGCCGGAGAGCCAGCTACACCCTGAACCTTTGCAGGACCACCTGCTCCATGTGCCCTCCAGGCCACCCAACCCTCCCACCTGGAGCCCCACCTCCCCAAGAGGCCCCCTCCACCACCACTGCTCCAGGTGGTGACAGGCACTGAGGAAAGGTTGGGACCTTGGTGGCCCTCCCTTCAGTGGCCTGTCATAACTCCGACTCCTCAGTGCCCCCTGACCCTGTTTCTATTCCCATCCTGTTGCACCCCAAGAGGTTACATGTTCACCATCTACTTGGAAAAAAAAATTTTTTTTTTCTTCCCTTTCCGTGGCTTCAGCAAAGCACAAAACCAGATGCTCGTAAAGGCTAAGCCAGTCCCTCAGGCTCTCTGCTCAGAATAGCTCTCAAGGGCGCCTGGTGGGCCCAGGTGGTACTGGAAGTGGGACTTTGGAGAAGCGGGTGCTGCACACACTCTCCTGCTAGGCTGGGCTGACATTTCTTCCCTTTCCAACCCACCTCATGGCAGAAAAAGGGAAACAAAGGGAGTATTGAATAGGGCCCAGCCTACTAGTGTATTCTTAAGTTGCTCTGGTCTGGGTGAAAAAGAAGTGGAAACTGCAGAAGAATTTGGAATCGAGAAGAAATCCAGAAACTGGGGGCACAAAAGTCTGAGCCTCCAGAGCCAGGAGCCAGAATGAGAGATGCATTGGAAGCAGTTCCAGGAACCTTGACACTGATATTTGTGGAAGTCCTGTTACTGGTGGAGTTAGATGTTAGACCCCAGTCCTTGCATTCAGCTAAGAAAGAACTCAGAGACAAAAACTCAAATACAAGCGAAAGTTTATTTAGAAAGTCACAGAGGTAGAAGGAAACAAGTTACAGAGGCAAAAGAGGGGCCCTTAATGCTTAGAAGAAGAATGCAAAGATAACACTCCTGAGAGAAGGGGGGAAGGCTGGGGCTATGAGAGAGGGGAAGGGAAGGGAAGGGAAGGGAAGGGAAGGGAAGGGAAGGGAAGGGAAGGGAAGGGAAGGGAAGGGAAGGGAAGGGAAGGGAAGGGAAGGGAAGGGAAGGGAAGGAAACATTGGATCCCTTGCCTTAAGGTCGATCTCAATAGAATATTCATCAGCCTTCCAGTTGCATCCTTTCAGAGTCATGGTCTCTACTGATCGATTGGTCAGCACTAAGGTAGGAGGTCATTAATCCTTGCATCTGGTCCTGATGTCAGCCATGGCATTGCTTCATCTGCTTTTGCTTCTTTTCTGAGCCTGAAGCTGAAACACAACTGAGGTCTAAATGTCATCTCTAGTTTGACTAAAACTCTGACTCTGTGGTCAACAGACCTGAGGCTTTGGTCCTAAGATTTTTTATGGGGGTCAGAACCTCATTGTCCTGAGGGCTTACTCCTTAAGGTAGGGGTGTCGAACTCAATCAGAGAAGGGGCCAAAATCTAAAATCCAGCCTAAATCGCGGGCCGAATGGTTTACTGAACAGTCATAAACTGTCATTGTGATGGAAACGCAGTGGAATGCAGTGATGACAGCGCCGTGCGGGCCACATTGCAAGGCCTGGAGGGACGGATTTGGCCCGCGGGCCTTGTGTTTGACACATGTGCCTTAAGGGACTGGTCGTGCAAGGGCTTGCACAGGAGCCTATTCTCTGGCCCCCTTATTCCTCCTCTAAGGGGATCTAAGCCACATGACTAGCGATATAAAAGGACACTGGATCTAAACAGCATGAAGTCACATGCCAGGGGAGGAAAGGCCACCTTGAGGGTAAGGTCCTACCCCATAATACTATTTTCCAAGTTTTGCCTATCATTCCTGCTCTGCATATGCCTGACTTACCACCTCAGGAAAGTTGTTTTGTTTTTTTTCCTGCCCCTCTTTCACCTCCCACTAAATTTAAGCATTTCCTAAAGTTCTACTTTTTCCTTTCTATATATTTTTTTCTTTCCTCCAATGCCATGGGTAGGAGCATCCATATCCCAAATCCACATTTCCAGCCCCAACACTGTCTTCACTACCTACTACTTACTTTGGCAAAACTTATAGGGTTGACTCTGATTGTCCATACACAAATTTCCTCCTGACTGCAATACTGAAGGTCATACACACTGTTGCTATAGGAAATATTTGTTTTTACTTCCTATCTTAAGTTGGTATCCTACCAAGCCATTTATAAGACCCCTCCCCTTAAAACACCAACAAAGAACTAAGAAGAGGATAGAAATTCAAAACAGGTTGGAAAAGTAAGGATACCAGTCAACCATTTGCAAAGAGGGGGGACTCCAGTGCTGAGGGAGCTGTATTGAAGGACAGATTCAGGGGCCCAGCCAGAATTTTGCCTCTACATTAAAGGCTCTACCCTTTCCACTGCATATCTCCCACCTCCCGCCCCGCCCTTAACTCCAAGAA